GATTGTAGGGAAAGAGAGATTGTAGGTGTAAGAAAAAGTGATCGTGGGGGTTGAGTGTGGAGACGTGTGATGGAGACGGTTGAGTCTAGAATGTCAAGAGTTAGAAGATTTGGGAAGATATGTAGTAATGATGATGTTAACTCGTGTAGGTTAAACTAGGGTAACTAAAGCTAGTTAAACTAGGGTTGGCGCTGATACCGCAGGAGAAAACTAATGGGCTCGCACGTTCCAGAATCACTTTTGAATATTGCATGGGTCATGTACAAGCCCACGTTTGAATGTTATTTAAAAGCCTGCAAAAATCAATGATCAGACCCAGTCCAACTAGAATTAGTCCTAAACGCACCGTTAATACATAAACACAAACTAAGGGGACCTCTCCATCCTATTCGAATCAAATTATGTGTTCTTCATCTTCTTCCTCAATCCTCTGGGCGAGACGAGCACTACATATCAGGAAACCTAAATTTCACCGAGAGATATAAGGCTCGAGAAAATCACAATAACGCTAAGACAAGATGACAAAGCACTAGGGATATGAACCCTAGGGTTAGCAAACCTCTTTAAAGGTTCTTTTGCAAATGAAAAGTTCGATGAACACAATAATAGACATGGTCGCCGTAATCGTGTTAGAAAGAGATAGGCGAGGGGAAATACAATGGCGAAGAAGAAACAAGACAAATTTTTTTTGGGAAATTCAATCTACGTCGAATGTGGATGGGGAGCTTCTCTTGGAACTGTGAAGGGGCGTCCCTCCAAGACGAGAGAGGGATCGTGTAATTGGTTAGGGAGACTGGAAATTGGTTTGGGCGGCAGTGGGTCTACCCAATTGGGTTTGGGTCTTAATCCATTTAATTTAATCGGGCAGTTAGTTGGACTAGGATGAAAACAAACTTAACGCGGAGGAGGCTTTTGTAATTTGTTTAGTTATTTAGTGGCGCAGTTAGGTTTAACAAACGTGAGCCGTGGAGATTGAAAACGAACGGTGAAGATCGGCCAAGGTACCCGTACCCGGCTTTTGCCCTGGGGTTCATCCATTAGGGGTTAGGGTATAGTATCGTGCCCCAAACTCCGGTTAATTTATTGTCTAAATAGCAAAACTCAACGGGTGTACGATAGGCTAGGGTACGTCCGGGCGTACGCTAGCCTTTGCCATATATATATATATATATATTCCAAAATAAATCATGAATATCTCCATCGAAACTTGGATAATCTTTTTCAGGAGCAGATCCGGTGAGTAACTTTATGATGAGTAATCATGAGTAATCCGTCAACATCAGCAGGATATCAGCATCTCTCTCCTGAAAAGTCTTTTATTTTTTTCCTCTTTAATCTTTAACAGATGATTTATCTTTCGTTTTAAGTCGAAATTAATTTTTTTTTTTTTGCGTAGATAAATCAGATTAAATGTGCTCTTCAAAATGATATTCACTTTGATATATTTTTGAAAAAAAAAAATTAAGCCATTTTTTACCAGTCTATACCATATGGTATTGACTGGTATTGAAATAAGAGCATACCTATGGATTGAAAAGCGTACCATGGTGGTATGAGCAAACCAAGACTGTATGATGGTTGAATACATGATAGTAGAAGTATATTAACTGTCATTTACGACTTTTAACATTGTGTACCACAAGATACCACCTCATACCAGGGTGGTATTGTGTGGTATTTTTTGGTCCTGTAATTTGTTCACCTAGAAATTTGTAGATCCAATAGATCATGATGAACTCGTTCCTTCTGTGCAAACGTTTTCAAAAACGAATTAAAAACGAAGAAGATATCATATGGTATGCAGTTGGTAACGAGAGGCAAGAAATTTTTTTCTCCAAAAATATTGAAAATGGATCTCGTTTTGTAGAGCACAACAAACTCGTTCCATCTGTGCAAAAAAATTAAAATTCGAGTTAAAACAAAAAATATATGAGTCGATTAAGAAAACTAAGAAAAATAAAAATAATATTTAATTTTCTATCATTAGATCTGAATTTTCTAAATAAATATTCCATATTTAGTTATCCCACTATATTGAGCCATCTTTTTCCATTTTGGGAGAGAGTGTTGACTTTGCGGAGATGTTTCATATATTATCCGCAAACTGTCGGCCTGACCATTTCCCTATCGCCAGCTCCAGCCTCGGCTCTTGCCCTCGTGGTGCATGTGTTCTATAATTTAGAGTCAACTAGAAGATTACGTAACTAGATATGGGAAACTCAGGCTTCCAACTCACAAAATATACGTTATATGTATCCAACATGAACAAGAGATGCTAGTTTAGGTTGAGTGGATTGTGTGTTGGATTGTTTCCTTTTATAATTGAGGGATCTCTAATCCCAGTGACATAGCTTGCATGTTCAAAATATTTTCTGAATTTCAGTTCTTAGGTACACTTGTTTCATTATTTTGCCTAATTGCCTTAATTAACTGCATTTTGATAGCAAGAAAATGTGTAATCTATTCCATAAATTATAGTCTAGTTACACTTCTTCATTGTACATTTTATTGAAATGATAATTTGCAATTAGAAATAACATGTGCTGAATGAATAGAAATGATAGACACCTCACGTCCAAAAGGAACATAGTAATTAATTGATCAATTTTTTTTATTTTAATTACTTAATTGATCAGATTAATTACATATCATTCGGTATAAATGAATTTAATAAGTTTTGTACTCAGATGACCAGACTTACACACTTTGTACCATTTACTATTAGTCCTTGATGTCAAATTTTCCAAACCCTAAAAAAATTGCAAGAAATGGAAAACAACAAAGGCTCAACTAGGAAATTCTTTAGAGAGTTGGCTACAACAATCAGTAAGATGAGTTGAAGTGTATTGGCTAAACAAGGTGTAAAATATTTTCACAACTTTTTTAGTGTACAAAGAAATTATCGAAATATATCGATTGCACAAATTTTATTAATTAACCCCCAAATTACAATTTTGGATTTCTTGAACGAGAAAATTATGGTTTAGTTGAAGTCTTGAAGATAAGACTTTTTTATGCTGAGAAATCTTGGCACAAATTTCCCACTTCGTAAATACCCGTTAAATTCACGTGAAGAGGTATGGAGATGTATAAATTTTAATGTTGAGTTATATCGGAAAATAAAAGTGAGTTGGGCATGTACATAGGCGATGGGTCGACGTCATACTTATGTCGACATGACTCTGACCTGTCTCGAGCACATTTTACTTGTGTTATGCTCATATTCGTATTTAATAAAAGAGAAGAAAATAAAAGCAGAAATGAAAAAGAAAGAGACAAAAACTGGACAGGTAAAGAAGAAAACTCGAAGTACAACGTGAATGATAGTTTTTTTATCATTCTTTTCGGGCATTTTTATTTATGATAGTATTTATTTAATATTTTGTTGAGCACTTCTGTAAATAATAATTGGCTTATTTATGTAGCTACATTTTGTATTCTTTTGAACATATAATTTTTCTATATTAATTTTCTGTAAAGAAGCATCGAGCTTGTACCATGTCACGCACGCCTCTATTTACTAAGATCCCAAAAACATTAAATTTGGCACGAGCTGTTTACATATCATATTGTGCGCATACTCATCCTCGTTATTAGAGGTGGCAATTAGGATCCTTCTAGAAAGCGGTTTAACGATAGTTAAAAAAAATTAATCCATAATTAATAATTGGAAGAAGGATCCACTGGTTGAGAGGACTACCAGGGTATCTAATCTCGTTCGCTCCCCATGCTTTCGCACCCCAGCGTCGGTAGGGACCACGTTGAGAAAGACAACCTCCTACCTACCTGGTCCTATTCCGTTCAGTTAGAACGGGACTGGCTCAAAAAACCCTCATGCAGGAACTCTGATTGTGCGGACAAAATCATCATTACCAACCTCCTCTATTGGTATTGTCTTCAAAATTAAGATCCGAAATAGCGTTGCGTATAGAAAGAGAAATGATTCGTCTTCACAGTATAGAAAAATGTTATCTAGGCAAGATCTTATGGAACCTATTTCGACAATAAAGAAAGTACGAAAGAATAGTAAACAGAGCACACTCGCTTGGGCTCTTATAATCATTGCAGGGTTTGGTTCCCCTTTGCTCTACGTCGGATGGAAATATCATCGAGTCCGGTAGGCAGTATTGGTAATATCGTATAGAAATAGAAGCAAACAATCCTTCAGGTTTTTTCCTCTTTTGATTAGTACAACATGCAAACCTCCTATCAATTCATGAATACAGTCCAATCCATCCATTAAATTATCCATCTAATTCAATTCATTTAATCCAATCCATTTCATCCAAATTCAATTGGATTGGTGGATTAATGGATCAATCCATGGATCCAAATGGAAAATTATAATTTGGTACCTATATTTTTATATTTTACATTTTGGTACTTAAAATTTATATTTTTACACGAAAAATATCATTGGTTTTGGTACCTAAAATTTTTTTTACGACATTTTAGTACCTAAACTTTTCAAAATTTACATTTTGGTCAAAATTTTGGATGTCATTTGGATTGATGGATCAATCCACCAATCCATTTGATCCAATCCATGAATCCACCAATCCAATCCATTTACCACCTCTACTCGTTATCATCAATCCAAATCCGATACGACCCATAATATATGTGTATACTGTTAGAGAGTGCTATAAGATCCAGGATAACAACCTTCTCCCAATAACTCGAGTTATTAGGACCAACTGGTTCTTGACATGGTATCAGAGCTGGTTTGGAGTGGACGTGTGTTCGAATCTCCACGACCTCCAATATAACACTTACTTAAAGCACAAGGTATGGTGGGCCTGTGCAAACTTCAAGCCCGTGGGTTGACTTTGGTTTGAGGGGGCGTGGGGGCGTGTTAAAGAGTGCTATAAGATCCAGCATAAGCTTCTCCCAACAAATCGAGTTATATGGACTTGTCAAACTAGTCCATATATTCCGTGCTCGTGACGTGAGCCATGCACCCCAGGTGCCACCGTGCCAGGAACAATTTTTTTTTTTGTACAAGTTACGTGATCGGTTTTATAATGCAATGCTGACAGTTGGAAATGGATTCTGGATCCGTTTGGCTGAAGAAATGGAAAAATATTGAATGCTATCATGTCATGACTCATGTGCAGAGATAATCTGAATCAAACGGAGCAGCTCATCACCTGCAAGTGGGAGCACCAATATCAATTCGTAGGACCACGTAACCTCTTGCCCAACCACAAACTTCTCCATTCTCACAATTCAATTCCCTCCACGACTTCTCTTTCTCGCCACCCATATTTTCCCACCCTTTCCATCCAAATTGCCAAACACCATTTTCAAGCAACCACTCCACCACCAGCTTCCTTCTCTTCCTTCCCATGTCTAGCTTACAACACCACAAGTTCCTCTCAAGGTCCCCCGGCCAAGGCTTCCACCACCACCACCGTGTAATTCCGATTCGATATGCCACCTCCATCACCACAATCACCTGCACCTTGATCAAGGACAATCCCAACTCCAACCACTTAGTCTCCCAACCACAGCGTGTCAGCAGAGCTCCACCGGTAATCCCTCTCACCGCCAACGACCCCGGTTTGAAGTCAACATGGTCCCACCGTGGATGGGTTGCAACAGGATGTGCTACCGTGCTCTTCTCCCTCGCCAAGGCTGCCGTCGGTGCAGCTAGCGTGCACATTTGGCTCGAGCCAGTGCTCGCGGGGTACATGGGTTACATCCTGGCTGATCTTGGCTCGGGAGTGTACCACTGGGGCATTGACAACTACGGCGATGCATCGACGCCAGGGTTCGGTTCTCAAATCGAGGCCTTCCAGGGTCACCACAAGTGGCCATGGACGATTACCAGGCGCGAATTCGCCAACAACCTGCACTCCCTGGCTCGTGTCGTGGCGTTCTCAGTGCTTCCTGTGGAGCTGGTGTGCAGTGACCCTGTTGTGCTTGGCTTTGTGGGGATGTTCTCCGGGTGCATTATGTTCAGCCAGCAGTTTCACGCTTGGGCTCATAGTACGAAAAGCAAGCTGCCGGCAGCGGTGGTGGCATTGCAGGATGCTGGAGTTCTGGTGTCCAGGGGGCAGCACGCTGATCACCACCGACCGCCGTACAACAACAACTACTGTATAGTGAGTGGGATATGGAATGACTTGCTGGACAGGAATAAGGTGTTCGAGGTGTTGGAGATGGTGGTTTACTTCAAGCTAGGGGTGAAACCTAGGTCCTGGAGTGACCCCAACTCTGCCTGGACAGAAGACGAGGATGCCGAGATCACAATCTGAAGTTGAATTGCTCTTTCTGGTAGTTGCATAGCTATACTGAATTACTATAGTCTACATTGTAATTCTTCTGGTTCCTGTATTCGCATTATTCGTGAAGTTGAAATTGTTTGTACAACATTGTGCATCCAAGCATGGACTAGAAAGATGAAACAAAAGTGAAATTGATCGACCAAACAGACCATTGTTTCTTTTTTATTGTTTGAGGCAAACATAAAGTGTCAAAATGTCAGTCCCCAACTGCAGAGGAGATGGAGGAGACACAGGGGAACCAGTATCTTCGCTTGCCATCCCGGTGGCCATCATCAATCATGGCGAGCCCTTCCTGCGTCATTCAATAGGAATCGTAAGATACCAACTCTATTTAGTTCTAGAAGAACAAACGAAACGAGTGAGGCAAATAGCAGCAGGAGCTTCACCTCTAATAGTGTATCCAAGGCATCTATGGCTCTCCCGGTTGTCCAAGATAGCCGCCTTTCCACCCCATCAACAGTTACAAAGCCTTGAGCCTAAAGGGGACGATGTAGACGAGTGTGTAAATTATGAGTCCTGATGAAAATGGTGGCAGTATTAGGAGGCAGGGGAATAGGAGAGGAAACCTGAGCCAACTCCAGGATTGCATTATGGTCTTTGTTCAGTTCTGTTGGCACAGACCGAACTAACTTCTTCTTGCCAACAGATATAACCTCGAAACCACTTCCCATTACCTGACATATTCAAGCAGTTTTTAGTTTTTACTAATAAGCAAATTAGGCAACAAAGAAGCAATGCCAGGGACATTAATCACTTGGGAAAATTTCACCGAGAAGGGTTGTTGGGAACAAAATAAGGGTAAGTTCTGATTACTAGATACAGACCTTAAGTTTACTTATAGCACGCAAGCAGTCATCCTCAGTCACAGCTCCGCGATCACCTTTCCTCCTCTGGCGAAGTAGATCGCAGAGCTCTTGCAGGTTTATCAGACCTCCATTATGAGGTCTCGTGTTTAAACATATCTCAACAATTTGTACCCCTGCCTTAGCAAAATAGTACAACCAGTATCAGATTCTCCGTACTTCTGGGTTCTCAACCGTATAAAACAAGAATCTTATAACAGAGACTTCTTATCCACGCACTCTTTCTCTCTTGCTCTTCCAATCCACACACTATTTTACATAAATAACCAATAAGTTCAAGACTCACCAAGTTCATAATAGAAGTCACCAATTCCTAGCAGCTCTGCCCAGAATCCCTTATTAGAGGCCAAAGGATCCACTCCTACCTTAGCACACATCTCATGGAATTGCGCCCTAAATGTTGGATTCTTGCGAATGTCATTCTGCAATACATCATGCCAGATTATGAGCTGCAACATTATTTGTGATTGAGAAAAATGATGAGTGAAATGAAGGAGAAGAATGAGAGCATTAAGAATGACGTGTCAGTAAGGCCATTAAACAGGTCTGGAGCTGGTTGGTTCACTACTGCATCAAGGGAGACTTGGGCTCTTTAGCTGAATGAAACGGAAATGAAAAACAAGCTCACTAGGGCTCACACAAACGACGAAAACAATATATTCTGATTATGGCTTGGGTATGTCAAGCTAAGAAGCACTAATATGCATGAACGATTCTGAAGATGAGGATAGTGACAGGAATTCAGCTGGGGTAAATCTTCCCAAGAAGCAACAACTCTATCTCAAGAGGACCCGAAGAAGAGATGAATGATTCTTCACACCGGAACTTAGTATCTAGCAGAAGATGAAATTTGATTGAACTGTGATCTTCAAATAAGGGTAAAGAAATATGAAGTGGATGATTGCAGTGAGAAACAGCACATTCCACACACCAGGACCAAGCCGATTTGTGAAATTTCTAACATGCTAGCAGAAGAACTCAGTCACTAAGTCGGATTAAAACAATATGATTTGTACAAAGCGAAAGCTTCCAGTCTTCCACAACCAAGCATAAAAGTTCAACAATAACCCTCAATCACACACCTTACGGCCACCCACGATTACAGATCAGTAATCTAACACAGAAAAATCAAAGCTTTAACAATTGCTGATAGCCCAGAAACCAAATTCGACACCTTTGCCACAAAATGCACCAAGATTGAGGAGGGCAGATTCCTTACCTTGTGTTTGCGGGCAAAATCTTCCAACTGAGAACGGAAAGTGGCGAGCTGCTCTTTCATAAGGTCGGTTCTTAGCTTGGCTACATTTTCACCCAGTAGCCGGTATTGATCCTTTGAATTGGGGGAAAGAAAAATCGAAACATAGACATGACAAAGAACGATTATATACTGGGCACTAAGCAAAATGAAAACAGAAAATCAATCCATGGGTATCAAACAAAGAGGAATGAACCCTAGCAGTGGCTGCCGTTTGTAGGCCGCCAATTCCTGGTCGCCGTCTCATTTTCGTTCTCTTGCAAAAAGCTTTCCTCGTAGCTGGGAAATTGGTTCGCCGGTTCGTGTTCTCATAAGCTGTTACAGACAAGTGAACTAATATATAAACATTGGCTAAGAGTAATCACATTATCAGAGTGGCGCAGCGGAAGCGTGGTGGGCCCATAACCCACAGGTCCCTGGATCGAAACCAGGCTCTGATATATTGTTTTTTTATTTCTTCCATCTCTATAAGTTTTTTCAGTTTGCAGCCCAAACTTTTCGGTAATTTATATTTGCTACCCTAAAGTTTCACATCGTTTTTCCATGTTTTAGCACCAACTTCTTTGCAATTCCTATTTCCTCCCCAAAAGTTCCACATTCACACTCTGGAAAATAAACAAGGGGCCAGGCCAGCTATTTTATCTAATAAAGGATTAGTCAATCCCAAATAAACTGTTTCTTGATGAAGAATCTCATGAGAAACAACACAAAGTTCGGCTACTTTTAACATGGAAACTTCTGCGTTTACAATATATCTGCTGAAATTCTACCTGTGATGACTACAGATCAAAAGCAGCAACATCCTCGGAGGTTCTCGAACGTTAAAACACTAAGCTTCCCGCACTTGATGTTGATGATGAACAACACAACTTTTCTCTTCCGACCCAAAAATAAGGTGTGCTGTATAGTTAGGTAATGGTGAGTTGACTATAATACTCTATGCTGATACCCCAGTAGCTTCTTTCGGTATTAGGAACAGGAAAAGGACAGGAATGTAGATGCAGGCAACTTGGATCGCTATGCCCAGAAGAAGATTGTCGAAAGATCCTGATGAGAGGTTGAGGAAGGAAGCCAATCCAGCACCAACAAACGACCCAACTGTGGAACCAAAGTTGTTGATAGACATGAAGAGGGCAAATAGGGTTCCTTCAATGCCTGGTGGGCACAACTGTCCCGATAAAATCAGGAATGGCATGAACCTACACAGGGAAGAAAGCCAGTTTGAAATGGAAACAATAATAACAAGGGCAGAGAAGAGAAACAAAACTTGGAGTAGTAATAGTAAGTGGCGTACTTGAACTGATTAATTGCATCAGCAAGAGCAGATCCAACGAGGACCATATGCTTATCCGTTATCCCATAGGCAATATTCATTCGGGAGACAAGAACAATGTCCAGGAGACTCAACAAGGACAACCCGATATGTGTGTATCTGCATTGTGCATTCAGGAAAAGGAGAAAGAAAACAGCTCTTTAGCAGTTCAGAAAGAATGAACACGTTTGATAAAAAAAAACAAGTATTAATGTGGTGCTGCTTACAGTAGAATCGTTCTTAGTTTCATGGTCTTTAAGTGTCGATTGTAAACGAAAGTCCCAAGCATGAGGCCTAACCAGCCAATGACACGAGTAGTCCCCAAGAAAGCTGCGTCCAAGTTCAGGAACTCTGTCTGGTAATAGAACATGACTGTTGAGAGGTTGGGGAAAGTGATGTGTGCCAGAAAGAACCATGCCATCGGTCTGAATTACAATAATCAAAAACTAAAATGATTAGAATGATAATATTATTGTATCTTTTAAGAGAAGGAGAGAGTGAAGTTTGGAATTACCAAGCATGAAGGACTATATAATTAATTACCTTAGTATGATCGGCTTCCTGAAAGCTTGTAACAAGCTGTAAGTAGCTGATTTCAACGAGTAGTACCAACCTAATCTTCCAGCATTCTCTTTCTCAACGAACTGCGATTTGTTGCTAAATCTCTTCTTTTTGCCCCTTTTTTTGCTTTTCTTCCTCTTGGAGATAGTTGAGCTGGACTTCCTCATAAAGTAACTGTCCTCGTCAGAAGGACTATTTCCGTTCATATCATGGGAATCACCTAAATCTTCAGATGTAGGAACATCCCCACTGCTTACAGGAGTCTCCTCAACCAAAACACAGGAGAAAAGCTGTATTGCGGGGAGTACAGTGAAAAGAAGGAAAATTTTGTCGATTGGTAAGTTGGATAATGCATATCCTCCCAATAGACTTCCACATATACCACCCAGAGCCATTGAAAACCAAGAAAGTGACTGCAGATCTCCTGCAAACGAGGCCCTGCTCAGTTAAAAAATAATTAAGATCATGTTAGTACAAGAAATAAAAAGACAAAGCAGAACCACTTAAAACGCATCAAGGTCTTTCTTGAAGCAAGTATAGGGAATGATGCTTTATTTCTATGTTAACAGATTCATACACTAAATCACTGGTAGTATAAGAAACAGACAACTTGTACTAGCTGCAAACATTCAGAACTGGAAGGTCCATTGCAAATACATACACATTAACGATTTGAATTCTCTATGGATAAAGAGATACAGACAAGTCAGATTCACATACTTCTCAGAACGCACAGCCTCAGCAATCATTGCATCAACCACAACATCTGCCATAGCAGTACCCAGGTTTTGTGCTGTCAACAAGACCATGAGATGCCAGCTTGAGTTCCTGAAAGTTGCATTCAGGCCTAATATCGGCCATGGCACCAGAGAGAGGATGGTGGCAATTATGAGGTACGGTATCCTCTTTCTTCCTCTAATGGAGATGCAATCAGATACTATTCTGCAATAGAGATGTCATTAAAACCCTGAAGTAAGTCTAAGATTGTAGATAATGTGAAAAGTTTATATTCCTTGATTCTGTGATTTAACTGGAAACAACCACACATGCAAACTAAAGGTTTAATGTTCTCAGTTGATTAAGTCGCCAAATATATGAAGGAAACCATCCGCCCACCTGGGTTATGTCAAGAGATAGAAATCAATTTGAGCCCCGATCATTCATAAGTTTCGCACAAACATCAGCTTTCTGAACTCAGAGTACATAACAGTAGATGCTTATATATAAACTGTAAAACCAGTACATAAGCACAAAACTGCAAAAAGTGACACATCGCCCACATTTATAGCTACTCTTATTTTCTTTCTTTTAAGATGGGCCTGGAAGTTGTGTGGGTACTTGCTTTTAGCATCACCGCACATCAAGAGCTGAGGCTACATTCTCTATCACGGATCCACATGAAATAGAGTAAAGAACAGTACCCATATAGCGGTTTAATGCTCCATGGGAAAAATGCTACTGAAGACACAAACTGGGAGGCTGATGGTGACAGTTTAAGCTTGTCTTTCAGCTGGTAGGAAACTGCTGTCCATACAAATGATCTGAAACCCTGCATTCAACAGTTTAACAGAGCAAGTATGATATATGAATCATATTATGAACTCAAATTTGGGGCAAATAGATAAGTTGAAAGAAGCATAATAAGCAAAAAAATCAAATGCCATATCCAGAGTAAAAAACCAGTTATCACATAGGAGTCCCTCCTGGCCCTTCAATTCACAAAGATCTACTACCAATTCACTAGAATCAGGCTAACTAAGGAAAGTGGTAGAGAGAACTCCACGATTTACTTGGATATCATACTTAACGAAGAAAATGTTTCGCATATCGGCAGCAGGAGCAAAAGTCATATGTTGTCGACATGAACTACATAGCTGGGACACTGGTAGGTGATCATACTAGCCACTAGCTTTATAAAGAATGGTTTATCCCAGAAATTTAAACTTCAGTTATAATATGAAAACGGCAATGAGATGAGATGATTATAGACGGTGTTACTCCGTAGTAGATAACCAAGGATGGTTCAACATTACTCCATATTCTCACCAACAAGCCCCATCCCCTTCCTACCTTCCTCTCCGAATTCTCAGGGGCATTTCCACAAGCTACAAGAGTGCAGAAGAAATGACAGCGCTCTGACAGAAATTAATCCCAAAGATGAGCAGTACATTGTTCCAAACCAAACAAACCGGAACGCAGAACTATTTAGACCCAAAAATCACTAACATGGTCATATCATCTAACAATTCTCAAGAATCTAAACTCAACACGAAAGCCACACCATGGGAAAGGACGAAGAAGAGAGCAAAAACCTGAGTGAAGTAAATCAAGCAAACGAGCCATAGAAATGAGGCCCCGAACGACCTCTTCAGCTGCTTCGCCCAGGCTTTCATTTTCTCCGAGGGGCGAGAGAGGGAAGAAATCAAAGACGAAAACTCAACTTGTTCTTCTTCTAAGCTGCGGAAACCTCCATTTTTGGGACGCCTGGAATCGAATCGGAGAATCGCCGATCCTCTTTTCTTCCACCCCGAAACTCCCTCCCTATTTCCTGCAACGGTTTTCTTCCTGTTTGTGAGGAATTGACGATAATGCCCTAAGGAGGGATGTATAAATCGGCGCGATAGCCAGGGTGGTACTGTAATCTCAAAGGATTCGGTTGATGGCCGTACATTACTTGCACTGAACACGTCCTCTTCGCCAATGGGATCTCGCCAATTCAGCACCCAGGGCCCACGTTAAGCATTTTTTTGAAGGCATAAAGGGTAAAAGGTTTCGCTTTCGGAATAAGGAGGATGTGAAGTGACATACTATTGAAATTCGGGGGGTCTTCTGCTATTTTTCCGAAATATCAGATGCTTCAAATGAAAGAAGGACGCGTGAGTAGAGTGGCAAACTGGCGATCCCATTCCCGTTTCCCACCGACGACGCAGTCAAAAGGGGCAAAAGACAATTTCCAAGTGAAGCTGAGGAAACACCGTGGGGAGCAGCCATGGTGTCACCAACGTCGCAGCAGCAGCAGATTATGATGCTGAGGAAGCTTCTAATGGCGGCGGCTGTACTTCTAATGGCGGCGGCTTCCGTTCCCGGCGTCGGTGCTTGGACTGGCGAAATCCGTGGAAGAGTTGTTTGTGATGTGTGTGGGGATTCCTCCATTGGGCCAGAGGATCACGTCTTGGAAGGTCTGTAGCTCCCTTTCTTGCTTCGATTCAGGTGGTTCTCGTGGTTAACGTTGATTCCTGTGGGACTTTGGATGGAATTGGCACCTTCTATGCTTCAATTTGGGGAGTTCGGTTTTGCCAATTTCCTTATGTCCCTGTACTGTATTAGAATATCTGACCAAGTTGGTTTTCAACTATATCTGGGTTCTTGAAAGAGTTGCCTGCTGATGCTACAGAATGAACACTGATTAGTAGTTTGATGTAATAATTGCTTTCCATCTGTGGTTCCTAAGCTTAGTGTCTAATGAGCTGTTTAGCTGTGTCTTCGAAACAAGAGCTGTAATTGTTTCACAAATGTGTGTTAGAGTATTTGATTCTAGTCTTTGGTTAGTCTTTTAAAGTGAGAAAGAGGGGTGCTGTAGTTTCAGTTCAGTGTTCTTTTGCAAATAGCCTCAAGATGGGTTCTAAACCTTTCAGAACAAGGTTGCAGTGCGTTCATTTTCTACATTGAAATGTTACAGAAACAATGAGATTTGAAAGGGTGATGTATTCTACTCTCACTTTTAACTTGTGGGGTTTTCTTAGCAACATTTAGATACACTAGCATATCTGGATGCAGAGAAGCCATTGTGGTTTATGTACCCGCAGTCTTCTTGTTGTACATGATTGATTCTATGGAGTAAAGTGGTTGCCTTTATCTTCCTCTCTTGACCAGCCCTTTCAAACCGTCCTCTTGTCTAATGTTTAGGCTTTTTGTTCTAGAGATATTGAGCCTCTTCTTTGTGGATTTGCAATCGATTGAGATGCTTTCGCATACTCTCCAAACCGAAGTCTCTTGCAGCACGTCATGTGAAAAGGCAGAATGTTAGATTATTCATTCTTTCGGCTGTTTTAAAACCCTTTGCTTGCTACTTGTCAGTCATTTGGCCGAAAGAACGAATTGGTTTTGGCCGGCACTTGAAGAGAACATATAGAGTTAGTTAGTTGTATCTTCTTCACTGCGATTCGTTCACACTTGGGAGATGCAGCTGCTGATCTTTGAACCTTGTTTAAAAAACTGCAGGTGCTGAAGTAGCTGTTCTGTGCATAACCAAGTCAGGGGAAGTAGTCAACTATCAAGCATTTACAAATGCCAAAGGGATGTACACGGTTGCAGAAACCATGTCCGAAAGCGACCGTTGGGATGCATGCTTGGCCAGACCTATAAGCAGCTTTCACGACCACTGCAACCAACTGGGGCCTTCTAGCAGAGGACTGAAGTTCAGTTACAACAAGCCATCCGGATATTCTCACAGCGTTAGACCATTTGTGTATCGGCCTTCTAACGCTCCAACATACTGCTTGTAGATGATACCCCAACATCATAACTTATTATCACCAGAAGCTAAATTATTTGGAAGTTTTACATCTTGATCTCTGCTATCTAGTAGATGTACTTTAGTTTACTCTGATCTAATTTGGATTGTGGTGTTATAAGCTGGCACCAGTCTTGTTGTGGTACTGGTGGTTGGTGGATGGCGCGGGCGGAGCGGAGCGAGTTTCTCAATATTCATATTCACTTTGTACCAAGTGTTGGTCAGATCGGATAATACTCACGTTGCTAATGGGTTAGAATGGGGCAAGTTGACTAGTTGTCACATTATGTGAAGAAAGAAAAATACTTAATGGGTTAGAATGAATAATTGATTCAAAATAATTGACAGCTTAAATTTCGTACAAAAATGCAAATATATTAAAAGATAATACATATCAAGAATGAGACAAGTCCGTAAGTAGTAATCCATGTAGTCCCCTTCTAACTATTGTGAATCGAATAATAGTCGCCTCAATATGAATCATATCGAACTAGCACTGAGCCCGGCCAGTAACGGCCTACTGGCCGGGAAATTTCGGATAATTATAGATAATATATATATATTGGAAACATATATAATGCGTGTTTTCTATGATAGTTATTCACAAAGCATTTATAAGTAACAAATAAATACAACTATTAGTATTTCACATTTTTATAAAAAGTTTTGCTACTTAAGTAGACCCATATAGTTTATTATGGAGTTGTTTCATTATGGACCTTTAGTCGAGACTTCAGACTGATTAAGAACCTTTCGCAGTATAACTTTCATAGAAATTGAACTTGGTAATTACAATCCGCTTAACTGCAGACTAGGGGGAACCATATCCGGGTGACCTCTCTTAACCTGAATACAAAGTTTAGTTGCTTTGCTTGCTTGTTGTTTAGGCCTTCACTAAGTTTCACTGCTAGATAATACGAATTCACTGAGTAGTCATCACATCTAGGACCCGGGTTGACATTGAAACCCAAACCCGCTATACTACGCTTTAGGAAGTGGTTACACTTGGCCAATTTCTAGAGTGACAGTAACAGCGAGTCAGGAACCACTTGAAGTTCGCCACACTGCACGGAGCAACCTTCATCCTCAGCTTGCCCGGTACTTTGGGGTGCCCCATGGACGACTACACCCTCGTGGGCATGCAAGAGCTTCCCGGACGAGACCTTGGGGCAATGGCCCTGATTCGGGTCGCAAGGACAAACCCGCGGATCCGCTGGATTAGGGGCTTGCGTCCTGCAGAGTGCGAAGAGGGAAGCAGTCGAGCCCGCACCGGCCACCACCTTTGCCAGTCCAGTCTACCCAGCAAATTAGGTGTCGGGCCCTCCTCAGCCGCACCAGCTGGTTTCCCTAGGCCACCATGGAGGCTCGTTTCGATCGGATCGAGGCGCACCTAGATCGTGAGCGTGACGACATACACTACACCCACTTCCTGCTGGAGCACCTGTGCTTGGAGGCTGATGTGGACATTACCCAGACCTTCGCATCCGTCGCCACCTCAAGACGATGATGATGAGGAGGATTGACACTGGATAGCGATTTCCATGTTTCATGTTTCTTGTGTTTTGTGTTTTTGTGATTTGAGTCGAACTGGATATGTTATGTCTTGTTTGGTGTGTTTTATTGTGTCCCATGGGATGATTTGGCTGACAAGTTCGTGCACCGGTATTATCCGGCATCGAAGACCACGGAGATACAGCGGGAGATCACTCACTTCCGCCAGAGCCAGATGAGTCCCTTCGTGATGCATGGGAGCGGTACATGGGATACTTCTGGCAGTGTCCCCATCATGGTTTCAGCGATGCCTTTCACAGTAGGGAACTTCTACAGCGCCCTCACTCCAGACAGCCAGAGGGTGATCGAGTCTCTATGCCCAGGAGGGGATATTCTTACTAAGACTCCACCCGAGCTGAACCAGATGATCAGTACCTTGGCTGCCCGAGACCATTCCTGGGGGCAGACCACAGAGGCAGGAACTCCCGGGACCGGGGTGTGCATGCTATGGAGACCAGGTCCGGGTTAGAGCAGCAGGTGGCTGAGTTGGTGCAGACATGAAGCAGCCTAACAGTCTCCTTCCGGGCCGTGGTGTAGCTACGCCTCCAGTAGCTCAGTGTCAGTGGTGTGAGAGCCCGAACCACCTGGTGGAGGATTGTCAGTCTATGAGGGAGTCTTCACTCCCCAAGAGCAGGTGGACTTCATCGCAAATGCTCGGCGCCTGGACCCATACAGCAACACCTACAATGAGGGATGGCGCCAGCATCCCAACTTTGCCTGGAGCAATAACACCGCCAAGCCACCTGGTTTCCCAGCACCAGCAGGTGGTTTCCAGCAGAGGCAGCCCTTCCAGGCTAGGCAGGGGCCACCACCACAGCAGCCGCCTTACCAGCCTAGGCAAGGGCAGCCATTCCAGCAGCCTCAGCGTCAGTATGCCGAGCCCGCAGCAGCGCCAGCTCCCGATACTCAGATACCGAGCTGAAGAACATTTTGGCAGCATTCATGACCACCAGCCAGGCAATATCACGAGGATGGATCAGTCCATAGCCTCACTGGAGGCAGGCCAGCGAACCCTGGAGGCAGGCCAGAGGAACCAGGTGCCATTCTGCAGGATCTCCAGCACCAGATAGGGGCATTAGCTCGCCAGAATACTACCAGGGCACCGGGGACTCTGCCTGCCACCACTGTCCCCAATCCTCGCGACCCTCACGAGACTGCCCATGCCATCACCACCAGGAGTGGTAAGACCACATCTGCTGCTCCTGCCCAGCCCAGGCAAGACGAACCACTTCCTGCTTCAACACCTCCAGCTGATACTGCAGAAGTGGAGGAAGGCAGCGCAGCACTTGCTCCCAAGCCACAACCTGTGGTTAAGGAGCATACACCCCAGCTGCCTTTCCCCACTAGACTTCATAAAGACAGGCTGGAGACAAGAGTTTGCCAAGTTCATGGCAATGTTGAAGCAGGTCAACATCAGCATGCCGTTCGTGGAGGCACTGTCGAAGATGCCCAAGTATGCCAAGTTCATGAAAGACCTCCTCACCAACAAGAAGAAACTTGGGGATCTTTCGACAGTGATGCTCAGCGAGGAGTGTTCTGCCATCCTGCAGAACAAGCTGCCAGAGAAGCGCAAAGACCCAGGGAGTTTCACTATCCCTCTTGTTATTGGCAGCATGCATGTAGGAAAGTCCTTGGCGGACCTAGGCGCTAGCATTAACGTCATGCCCTATAAATTGTTTAAGAAGCTAGACCTAGGTGAACCTAGAGCTACTAGGATGAGCATTCAGTTAGCTGATCGTTCTATCGTGCATCCTAGGGGTATCATTGAGGACTTGCTTGTTAATGTTGGTGCATTCACATATCCTGTTGATTTTGTTATTTTGGATATAAATGAGGATGTGGATGTGCCTTTGATTTTGGGTAGACCATTTCTCGCCACCGCCAAGGCGCTTATTGATGTGCATAGTGGTAAATTGATTCTGCGTGCTGGTGATGAACAGGCTACTTTTTCTGTGTCTGACAATGGGAAACATTCTCATTTGCATGATGACATAGACTACTGTGATGTGCTTGCCGATTTTGAGACCGCACTCGCCATCACGAGTGCGGGTACTGATGATGCTCTTGAGCGTTGTATTTTGCTAGGTGAGCAGGCATTGCAGGAGCCGCAGCTGGCGGAGCAGTTGGCCGCATTGGAGAGTGGCCCCTTCTTGGAGGGCGACAGGCTGTTTAAACCGATCTCATCCTCCACCCGCATCACCACTTCTCTGGAGGAACCACCAGAGCTGGAGCTTAAGCCCCTCCCTCCTCATTTGGAGTATGCATTTCTCCGGGAGGGGAATAAGCTGCCAGTTATCATCAGCTCGACCCTCACACCCGAGCAGAAGACCAGACTGGTGGCCTTGCTGAAGCAGTACGAGCGAGCTTTGGCATGGAAGATCACAGATATCCGGGGGATCAGCCCCTCTTTTTGCTCGCACCGGATACTGCTGGAGGATGAGATGCGGCCAGTGAGGCAGCCGCAGAGGAGATTGACGCCGAACCTGGAGGCTGTGGTTCGGGCAGAGATCGTGAAGCTGATGGACGCGGGGATCATCTTCGCCATTTCTGACAGCGAGTGGGTCAGTCCCACCCAGGTGGTGCCCAAAAAGGGTGGGATGACCGTGGTGCCTAACGAGAAGAACGAGCTCATCCCGATGCGCACGGTGACTGGGTACCGTGTCTGCATCGACTATCGGCGTCTCAACTACGCTACTTGGAAGGACCACTTCCCGCTGCCGTTCATTGATCAGATGCTGGAGAGATTGGCGGGGCACGAGTTCTATTGCTTCCTGGATGGGATGTCCTGGGTACTTTCAGATCCCTATTGCACCGGAGGACCAGGCGAAGACCACTTTCACCTGCCCCTTCGGCACCTTTGCTTACCGGAGGATTCCATTCGGGCTATGCAACGCCCCAGCCACTTTTCAGCGATGCAATGCTCGCCATCTTTGACCGTTTGGTCGGCGAGATCATGGAGGTGTTTATGGACGACTTCTCGGTTTATGGAGACTCCTTCTCTCACTGTCTCCACAACCTGGAACTTCGTTCCTTAAACGGTGTGAAGAAACGAACCTGGCACTAAGTTGGGAGAAGTGTCACTTCATGGTTCGGGAAGGCATAGTTCTTGGGCATAAGATCTCCAAGATGGGGATTGAGGTGGACAGAGCAAAGATTGAGACTATCAGTAAGCTGCCTCCTCCCACATCTGTAAAGGGGATCCGGAGTTTTCTTGGCCATGCAAGGGTTTCTACAGGCGGTTCATCAAGGATTTCTCGAAGATCGCCCTGCCCTGACCAAGCTTCTCGAGAAGGATGCCCCCTTCCTGTTCACTGATGCTTGCACAACAGCGTTCACCACCTTGAAGGAGAAACTCACCCAGGCTCCTATCATGGTTGTTCCAGACTGGTCCTTACCATTTGAGGTGATGTGCGACGCCAGTGATTTTGCTGTTGGAGCTGTTCTGGGGCAGAGGCGAGATCAACACTTCCGACCTATCTACTACGCCTCGAAGACTCTGAATGATGCCCAGGAGAACTACACCACCACAGAGAAGGAGCTGCTTGCGGTGGTGTTTGCCTTGATAAGTTTCGCCCCTATCCTGGTCTTGTCTCGTGTGACCGTGTACACAGATCACTTCCGCGATTAAAGGTAACCTGAGTGAGCAAGGCCGATGCCAAGCCTCGGCTCATACAGTGGATCTTACTGCTGCAGGAGTTCGATATTGAGGGGGGAAAAAAAAAAATCCGGGACAAGAAGGGAGCAGAAAAGTGTG